GCTGATCTTGAATTTGCAATACTCCTGCCTCAGCCTCCTAATGAGGTGAGAATAAAGGTGTGCACCACCATGCCTGGTGACAAAAAATATTTCCTTTTGGATCTGGATCAAACATGGAAAATGCACATTCCAAAGAAGACCACAAAAGGTGTACACTAGCGCACATCTGTGCAGCTGACTTCTTGGCACAACACAGAACCTCTCATTCCACAATCCACTGGGGAGAAGCATGAGTTCTAGGAGGGCCAACAAGCCACCTAGCCACCAAAGTGAATGAGAACACTCACCAACTCTCACTTTGTGAATACCAGAACTATATATGATGGCTGTCTGGCAATGTCTTCAGTCCCCTGGTCTGGGATCGTCTGTTCAGGAAAGGAGCTCACTCCTTTAGACCAGGCACATGTCTGAAAGGTGGTGGGGACAGTGGCAGGACCATGCCCCCCCTCTGTTTGGACAGCAGTAGGAGAAAGTCAGCGGGTGCCAGGGAGGTCAGACTTTAAAAAGAAGCTGCCTTCTGTCACCAATGGCGACAAAGAGAATATGCTAAGCTGCCCAGGACAGCCTTGAATTTACTCAGTCAAATCAGTCTACCCATAATGTCCTGTGCCCTTTGTGTTCAAGCTCAGGCGTTGCAGCCTGCAATCTCCTCTGCAGGTCACTTTACTCCTTTAGTTCAGAACTCAAGGTCAATCTTCCAAATAAACTCTGTGCACATTTTGGGAACTTTTTAGAATTTCTGCTCTCTCTCTCTTTTTTTTTTTTTTGGTACCGGGGATTGAACGCAGGACCTTGCACTTGCAGGGCAGGCAGAGAAACCACTGAGCTAAATCCCCAGCTAGAATTTCTTCTCTTGACCTTTTAAGCCATCACCAGAAATAGCTAATACACAGCAGGTCTGACAGTTTCTCAGGCAAACTGCAAGGGGCCTGGAACACAAGGACTGGTCATCACCTGTAAAGGACTCTCATGTTTTCTAAGTGGTCAGGAGCCGCTTGCCAGGAACCCAGCCAAACCACTGTGTCATTACTGCTGTTAACAGCAACTGTGGCTCATTCTCTGGCAATGGCTGTGGCAATCAGTCCTAAATGGGAGTTCCTCACTGGCCCAGGAAAACACAAGAAAATATCCAGGGAGGGGTCAGGGATTTAGCTCAGTGGTTCCACTGCCAGCCTCACAAGCACAAGGACCTGAGTTTGATCCCCGGTACCACAAAAAAGAGAAAGAAAGAAAAAAAAGAAAATATCCAGGGAGACCCTGTCTTCAGGGAAATACTCAGCCAGCAAGGAATGTAAGAGGAGCAAACAGAAGTAGAAAAGCATCTGAAAGGTTAGAGTGAAAACCAGTAGATAGTTGGCTATAGGACTGAGGCAGCTGGGCTGGCTTCAGGCCTGACCCAAAGGACCTGGCAGGAAAAAGAAAGTCAGACCAGCTTGATGGCCCCTGTAAGCCAAGCCAACCTGCAGAAAGGAATAAAACCCACGCCTGCCAACTGGTCTGTTACAGTCCCTGTATCCAACTGCCAATTCATTCAATAAATAGCCCAGAAGCCTGCTAATTCACACCAATTAAAATGGCAAAACGAACCAACCCAAGTTATGTTCAAAGTTCATGGACAATGAGCAATAAAAATAGGAAATGTCTTCAAAAAATGCAAAGAAGAAAGGTGCCAGGGAGCAGTCTGTAAAACGCAGGCACAGGGGTTCAAAGCAATAGCAAGTGAGCAGAAATAGGCCAAGAGTATCAGGTTTCTCAGTTTTGACAGAGAGCTGTGTAAAAAATTCATTTGACTCTCTCAAGCACTCAACACTATATGAAAATCACCACCGCATATACATAATAACAAGGACAGGAGCAGCATCACCAAGGGCACAAAAGAAGAGATTCCTACACTGACGGGAAGTAGTAGGGAGGCCAGTGCCTGAGCCCCTCAGTGTCTCAGGTGCAACATATCCTTCCATACAGATTTGATATTATAGTTGATATTAACCAGCTCTCCACAGTAAAGGCTTCCCCAGCAAGTGAGGTTCAGCTCCAGGGCCACCCCTGGTGGATGCTCCCTGCTTGCCTAATCAGCACCTGCTCTCCTCTTCCTTTTCCCTATCAGCCACATTCCTCCTTTGGTGGACCACTCTTCCCCTACTGGTTTGGGTGTATCACTTCACTTTCCCTCCGGGATGGCCCTACTGTTTGAGCCCAAGGCACAGCCTCAGGCTCTTAGCGCAGCTGAGACACACAGGATCAGCAGCAACATCAGTGTACCCCTACTCTAAGCAATTGCAGGACCTTCCTTTGCTGCTGTGGAAAACACTTATAAAACAATGACACGTAGAGCTCAAGCTTGCAGCAGTCATCTTCAACAAAGCCAGTCACCAGGAAGGCAGGGTCAGTGACACACAAGGAAAAGAGCTGCGTCCTAATCAAAGCACATGCCACTGGAGTCACCAATCCCAGTACTGCTTAAGCCCAGGTGAGTTGTATTTTCCATTGTCCCAACCTAGTGCTTCTAACTGCATGCCTTTACGTGACAAGTAGATTACTGCCTCCAAATGAGACACGTCTGGCAGGACTGTAGCTAGTAGTAGGGCACTAGTTAGTGGTTGGATCCCTAGAAGAGCAAAACAAAACACACACAAACAAAAACAAAGCAACACACTATGGAGCTTTGGCTAACAATGACTCCAACATCAGAGACTATCAAAGCACAACACCACACCACAGGTGCCTCAAGCTAGAGAATATGGATGGCAAAAAGGACCCCTTAACACCAGGGTCCCTCTGCCACCAGCAGCTCCACAACAGCAAATAAGCCAGACTGACTCCATCCTCACAGCTGTACATCATCCGACAGAAGCCCAAGTTCTGCTGACTTCACAGCAAGGCTGCCTGTTACAATGGAGCAAGCCAAAAACAGGAACAGAACTGGGGTCAATTTATTTTCCTATATCCCAGCCTCAAACTTAGTGCCTTTCTTAAAAAATAAAAATGAGGGCCGGGGATTTAGCTCTGCGGTTCGGTGGCCTGCCTTGCAAGCGCAAGGACCCGAGTTCAATCCCCGGTACCAAAAAAATAAATAAATAAAAATGTTTCTAATCAAACTTGAAAACTTTTAGGTTAGGTTTTAGAAACTGTCCTCAACACAGAGACTGCCTGGCAAGCGTGAGGTCCTGAGTTTGATCTCAGGTACCAAAAAAAAAATAAACTGTCTTTAATTAACAGGATAATTCATATAAAACATTCTATCCTAAAGCACATAGCATTTGGTTAAGGACAATGAGCAAAAGGAACACCTTGAATCATGTCACCTAAACTAGAAGTCTAACACTCAGAAGTGTTAATTCTGTACTGATGAACTAGCCACAGTCTTCACTATATCTATCCATCAGAGCCTCACACTGCATGACAGGTTTTCAATTTCATGCTTAAGTCAGCAGGGGTCCATGAACTCCAGGCCTTCAAAGTGTCACAGGCTGAGTCCCCAGGCACCAATCTAGGAAAATGAGTGGGAAACACAAGTATCTACTCAGAAAGGTAACAGACACCAACCTTAATCGAACAAGCCTCTTGTAACCACATAAGAATTATAGAGAAGAATGAAGAAACAGGTTTCAAAGCTGTAGAAACTGTACAATAGCATTATTGCTTCCCCAAGCTGCAGGTGGGCCGACACAAACACTCAGAACAATCAGAACACCCTGGGCTGCTGTGCAAACTCTACACTACAGCACTGATACTGCTTACAAGGAAAAAAGGTCCATTGCTGGAGCTGCAAGCTCTGCTGCTGGGAGATTTGAATGGCTCTGATAACTCACCACACAGAAACCCAGTCCCACCTCATCTCCAACTCAGGCTCCAGGAAAAACCTCAGAAGATGGTTATAAAATCCAATCAACAAGCTGAGTGAACTGGCATACTCCTGTAATCCCAACATTTAAGAGACTAAGGCAGGAGGACCACCAAAACTTCAAGGCCAGCCTGGGCTACATAGTGAGTCTTAGGCTAGCCTGAAATACATACTGAGACCCTATCTCAAAAAAATACAAACAAACACATACACACTCATGCACATGCACAAAACCAATCAAGCCAGGCACAGTGGTACACACCTGTAATTCCAATACTTAGGAGACTGAAGAAGTAGAATCACAAGATTGAGGCCCCTCTGTGTTACTCAGTGAGTTCAAGACCAGCCTAACAAAGACCCTGACCCCAAAAACAAATAAAGCAAGCAAACAAACAGAAATGAAACAACCATTATATTTGGTATGGTGGCACACACCTGTAATCCTAGCTATTCAGGAGGATCCCAGATTTTGAGCCAAGCCTGGACAACTTAGAGACCCTGTCTCAAAAGTGAAAAAATAGGGCCAGGGATTTAGCTCAGTGGTTCCATCACCTACATCACAAGCGCAAGGTTCCAAGTTTTATCCCTGGTACCAAAAAATAAAATAAAGTGAAAAAATAAAAAGTAAAATTTGAAAAAGGCTAGAAACAGAGCTCAGTGTGAAAGCCCTAGGTTCAATGCCCAGTGGGGGGGGTGGTGCCAGAAGTCCCTAAATATGGATGCACTGGAATGTCTGCTTCTCCTTTATCAAGTTCAAAGGATGATGTCTCTAAATCCGTCCCATGCAAAAGGACCAGCATTTTTTGCTCAAGGATAAAGTAAACATCATTATGATTTCTAAGAATTCCCATGTTCCTAATGATTCACAAAACCATACATAACGTCAGTTCTTTTTTTGGGGGCGGGGGAGTTCAGAAATCGAACTCAGGACCTTGCACTTCAGGCAGGCAGTGACACCACTGAGCTAAGTCCTCGGCCCCATAAAGTCAGTTCTTGATAACAGTGTTCTCAACATTACAGATATTAAAAATATCTAACAAATGTGAAGGTATCACGAACAGAAAATAAAGCCATTATCCAGCCACACTTTTCCCTTGCTCCTTCTCCAAGTTTTGGAGGTGAGTACAGAAAATGGAAACCTTGTGCCCAGACTCACCTGAACTCTCTGCCTTCGCTGTACCGTCTGCTCGAGGAGGCCCTTGGGGTGGCTGTCTCCAGGAGCAGCTTCTGAGTGAGCCTGCTGGGGGGACACGAGTCTCTGCCACTGTCCTCCTCAGCATCTTGGTCACATTTCCACTCCTCATCTTCATTCAAAGTAGGCAGGTATCCAGATATGCCCTTCCCTGTCCCTGACCCCGAGCTCTGGTCACTGCAGACCTTCGGGCTCTCAGACCCTGTCCTCGTGTACTCCAAATAGATGTCGGACTTGAGGAAGGAAGGGTAGGTGTTTTCCTCCATAGTGGACTGGATTTCTGTCTGGGCCTGGTCGAACATGGCAGGGTCAATCAGCTGCTTCACAACACAGTCCTTTATGAAGCTCTTTGTGGCTGGCTTGGTTTGCCTGGACACAATGCCATTGCTATCCAGGATGTACTTTCGGTAGATGGCTCGTGCCAGCTTCAGCCTCTTCTCCTCATTTGAGCCACAGGGTTCAAGCTTTCTGAAACCACTGCAGGCAAACCAGAAGTCCAGCAGGTCAGCACAGCCCTCCTGCTGCAGAAACGTCCTAAACAGGCTGATCCCATCTTGGTCATCCAGTAAGGAATGCAGCGACTCAGCCCACCTCAAGTATGGTGGGGTGGGGGAGGCGCTGCCCTCAGGCTCGTACCCCAGATCCAGATCTGAGCGCCTTGGGGTGGCGGTAGAGGTCTCACCTTTAATGCCGGTGACTTTCCCAGGACAGAAACTGTGGCTGGCAGGCCTTGGCTCTGTGGACACCAGTTCTCCTTCCTCACCAGGCACTGGGGGTCGGGGGGCATCTTCGGTGAAACTCGCTCCAATGTCCAAGGGGAAACCCTGTTCTTGGATATTCATTTTGGGACTCTGTGCGTCAATGAACAATGAGCGCTGCAACCTAATACATCAGTACTTACGGCTCCAAAGGGAATCAATCTGTCCTGTTGAAACCATTAAGAGGACAAGGATTAGGAAAGGTGGTCCACGGAATCACAACCAGAGGTTCCCTAGAGACAAAGCTTGCAGTGATGCCCTCCCATTCACACTCAAAACAGAAACTCACTGTAAATTTCCAACAGAGACATTTTGGCCACAAGGCTTGTTCTACATTAAGACAACTTCTGGAAATGTTACAACTACAAGAATGCCTCTCATACTAAGTGAATTCCAAGAACACAGAGGACACCTCTCCCTTCAAGTGTCCTTTCTGTGAAAACCTCACAGAGAGACCAGGGGTCTGAAGATCTCTCATCCTACCTGAAGAGATGAGTGACCAGGAGGGCAGAAGGCCGGAAGAACGAAAGCAATGAGCTGATACCTCATACACGAGAAATGTCATCCCCCCCAACCCTGGCAACTCTCAGAGATAGAAAAGAGGCATATGACAGACCCTAAGGCAGGTGTGCAACGTCCCTGTCCCACAGCCTGAGTGTCTTCTGCCTACTCCATCACTTCACAACTGAAATGTCTTGCAACATGGGCAAGCACACAGCAAAGTGCATCTCTTGTTCTCAACACATACCCAAAAGAGTAGGTAATCACGGGTCACTTCAATTCCACAGACCAAGTAACAGACAGACATGGCCACGTGCAAAGACATTCTGCTGTCATCAATGCAGACAGTCTTAGAAATGAGAAAGCTGTACAGTACTTAGCTGTCAGTGCTTCTTCTATGAATACCCTTTTGTTAGTGACTGGGAACTTTAAGGAACAGAGAAGGTACACAAAAAAATGAAAACCAAATCCAAGTATGCTTTTGAGTGAAAGAATCATACAGCTCATACAATTTTTTTTTTTTTTGGAGACAGGGTCTCACTATATAATTCAGGTTGGCCTTGACCTCACTATGTAGCCCAGGCTGACCTCAAATCCACAGAAATCCTCCTGCCTCAGCCTTCTGAGTACTGGGATTACAAGTTTGCACCACCATGCCCTGCAGCTCATATGATTAATTCTATAAAATGAAACCAAACCACTCATCCTCTTAGAGGTCACCCAACTGCAGTTTTTATGCAGCTGCTCCTACAAGCCTATAGGACTGTGCAAAAGGCTGCCCTGGTTTCTAACCCATGGTCTTTTGGTCCTTCCTGCTACATCCTACAGGAGCCCACAGAGCCATGAGCCCTGGTTATGACTCTCAATCTAGCCAAGGAGGAGACTGCAATACAGCTTGCCACGATGCAAGTGGTCCTGGCAACAGAGGGATGGAGGAGGTGTTTTCCACGTCAGGACTAAACGCTTGAAGCACTGAATAAGCCACACAGTGCAAAATAAATCCCTAAAGCCAACACCACTCCACACTGCTGGGCCCCAGCCTCCACAAAATCTACCCCCAACACCTGGGCACTGGGGCCCTTCTCCTGCCAAGAGCTGCTGATGGCTAGAAGGAAGACACATGTAAAGATGGAGGTTAGGTCACAATTATGTGTCCTAAATAGCATCTCTGTAGCTAATAACTTCTTAGGTAGGCTATCATCTCAGCCTGAGTGGGACCAGCCTGTTTTTTAAGGTCAAGGCCCTGTGGGCTGTGGCCCTCTGCTGCTCACAGACTCCTCTCCCTCAACTGAGGTCACTTTTTAAGAACCTGCTAGAATGGAGTAAGCATCCTGCAGCTCCACACCAACTCATGATGGCTAGCATCGTTTTGTCTAGACTCCTACCCCAAGAAAAAAAGGTCCCCAAAACACCTGACCTTGCTCATATAGACCCACAGCAGTCCAATATCCTTGAGAAAGAACCAAGGCACTGGAAACTAAAAAGCAGTTAAACAGACAGGGTTCAAATCAGAGGCTACTTACTGTTGCTCTTCTCAGGTGCTCCTTTTCCATATAAATCACTCAGCAAGGTTCTCCACAGCTAACACAGCCTTGCAACCAAGGGGAACCGGGAACATTTACCTCACTGACAAACAGAAGGAAGCCACTCACCCCAGACACCAGACACTACCTTTTCACAGATGGTGACCTCTCCAGAAACAGTAGCAAATTCGACATGCAGCCCTTGATTAAAGAACTACAACTGTTGTTCAAAACTCACATTTTATGTCATGGGTGAACCAAGTCCATCCTACTAATTTCAAAGTACATTTGAGAGGCCAGAGGAAGTATGTCTCACAATTTGCATCTATTTTTGGCTGTCAACTGACACAAGACCTCTAGTGTCCCTGAAAACAAGTGAACAACCCCACAAATTACTGATGTTGAAACACTCCAATTCCCAAAACCTCTAGGCTTCCACAGGGAAACACCTAATGTTCAGGGCACACATATGCACCCTTTACATAAAGCAGCAATGTCAATTTGGGTGAGAGTTCAAAGCCCTTAAGTACCAAATCTGGCCCACAGCCTGTAACCGCCATCAATAAAGTGATTTCTATAAAGGAAACCTACAAGTGTGATACCATATTTAAAATTCCCTTAGGCACTGCTGAGCCACACACCCCTGGGTACCATGGCAGCAAGCTCGATCCTAAAAGCATGTGCATTTATTTTACTCAAATACAACTTTCAAAGTTCTGTTTTACATGGAGTGTGGATGTAGCCACCCAACATTTTCTTATCTGTTGACTAAACTCTTTAAGGATCACATATAAACCATCCCCCGTTTCTTAAATTCTCAATGATCAATGTAGCCTAAAAAAGTCCACTTAGTTTCTGTAAAGCAAGAAATCTAAGACAAGTCAACATCTGATGAAAATCAAACAAAAACTGTGCTGTGTCCTTTCCCACCTTTGTCCCTGAATAAAAAAGTTCCTAAAACTGGAACCTGCCAATGCTGGCAATCTTGGGTAGTCAAGGTTACACTGCATGTATTCTCTGAAACAGGGCCTGTGGGTCCAGGCAACATGCATGTGAGCAAAAAGGAGGGCTATGTGCGCGTGCGCGCACAGACAGACAGACACACACACACACAAACACAATGAGAACCCTTTTTAAATTATCTTGCAGAAAGGCTGAGAAAAAAAATCTCTAGAGGATAGAATGTATCTTTCCTCAACTCTCTTCATACTAGGCTAAAAGTGTGTAGCTCTGGTTTCATGGGGGGCTGAATTCAAAGTGTTTGGTGAGGATAGAATCCAAGACTGACCCCAGGGGGTATGGACGCCAGGGCAACTGGATACTCCAACAGCCAAACCACAGCCTGGACCCAGACTGTGCCCTCCTTGGGTTGCAGACTGGCTCATTCGCACAATTTCGAGGGGTGGGGGCGATATGAAGGGGAGGAAGGACCACTGCACACACTGCCTGACCCTAGCAGCTAACCTATACCCCACTCAACCCCTAAACATGTCTGAGGCCCTGGAACTACAACAAACACCCTACACCGCAACAAACATACTTAGGTGCACACCCTCCCCCTCCTCAAAATCCTGGGTCTTCTTCCTTTCCCTATTCACACACCCCAATGCCCAGGTCCTCGCCTCCCACAAGCCGTTTAACATCCCCTCTCCTGCACAACACTCTTTCACAGCTTCTCAAAGTACACAACTTCCTAGCGCACTAGTCAAGTCCTCAGGCCTCCAAGCACACCTTCGGAACCGCACATTTCCCACCACACACACACACACACACACACACACACACACACACAC